CATTTCAAGAACCCATTGTTGGGATTATCAAAGGCTTCAGTAAGAAACTCAAAACAAATAGAACAGCAAATCATTAGTGAGAAAGCAATAAACATTGCTAGTGAAATCTATGTCCAGTATACTTAGCACTGAACGAAGAGTTTATTTTATCCAGACCATTTGCAGTTAGATGTACCCTACAGACAGATACCCAATAATGGTTTGTATCCTACTTCCTGGCTGGTGGTGTTTCTAGGTTTTGTGTGTGTTGGGAGGGTGGGTCAGGGGAAGGGTGTGACTGCTACTTGAAAACTAGCTCTCCAGGAAGGATCAAATCATCTACAGTGTGACTTTCCCTCATCTCAGGACAATTGCATTTAAATATAGGCCAAAGGCTTAAGTCACAGGAATAAGGCTTAATCACAGGATTTCAGAAAATAGTCTTTTGGGAAGCTTGGGGACAGGATGGTGCAGTTGCCCTAGAGCCTCTGAAAGTACAATGTGTAGGTCTGCCTTTCTCAGATTAGGCTGAATCTTCAAGTCCTTGCTGAAACTTCCAAGTCTTTGTTACAGATTGCCTTGGATTCCTAGAGCCTGGTTTAATCAGTTTATTATCAACTCCAGAATGACAGAGGAGTATACACAGAGAGGACTTGTATCAGGTGAAGTGAGATAATTATTTCCTTAATGAAAAGCGAATTTAAATTCTAGGTTACTTACAGTAGCTGCTTGTTGGGGGAGGGGAACCACAAATTTAAAGTTGTGGTGATTTTTTTTTTTTAATGTTCGGGAAAACGTGTCAAGCAATAATATATTAAGTGTGCAATACTTTTGTCAGGTAGAATGTCCTGGCTTTGGAAGGGTGAGAAGAGGATTGTTACAGCAGTCTGCCTTTCAAAGGGCAGCTTTGATCATATGGTTAACTTGACATTTGGGCTGAGGAATTCAACCTCACCAGGGATGGGACTGGATTTTACCGAGCTCTCCTTATCCAAACTACAACATGCTTACTGCTTTCTCCCCACATTCCCCACATCTCAGCCTCCAGGACTAGCTACCAACGAGTCATTTTGTCCATTTTCATTGGTCTGACCACACAAGGAACATCCTGTTTCTTTAAATCCCCGATGCTCAAATTGCTATTGTAGAAAGCAACTCCCTGTCAATTTTCTCCACATTTAATCCTCAGCTTCTTGTCATATTTTCATTTTTCTGCATTGGTTCCCATGGTAACAAATCTATTGGCAGAGAAAGTGTGACTCTGCTTTTAGCCCTCTGCACAATACAAAATCCTTCTAGTGATTCTCAGGCAAGTGTCATAAAAAGGCAGGGAGAGACTACAGTTCCCTAGGCTAATGCCTCTAATCCCCTACCCCACCACATGTTCTTTCCCACCCTATTCCCCAACCAGGCCCACTGCCCAGAATCCCTTCACCTTTTGATCCAAGTATTCCAAGTGCCCTCCTATTCAACTACAGATGCCAGGACTGAACCTTTTTTGTTCAGACGGCTTCCTCTTCTGTCAGGACTTACCAGACAGAAATGTGTTAACTAATGGCAATGGACATTTGGAGGCAACATGGGAGAAGCAACTTGCACTCATTTTTCTATAAAATATCCTCAATATGCATCTGAGATGTATACAGCCCAGGGAATAAGTAGGTACTGAATGAGCTCCTGAGGAAGAGGAAGAGATAACAAAGATGTAGAGAAGCAAAAAATCTTGTAACTGGTGGCCAAATGTGAGCAAGGGAGCTACAGTTGGGACAATTCAGGGTTCAAGTAAGGAAAAGGTAAGAAACCTACCAAAAGCTAAGGAAATGGAGCATAGAGAAAAAAGGAGTTTTTGAGTTAACTGTCTGCAGAATGGGAGCCTGCAAAGGAGAGAATAGCTTTCTGCAGACTTTGGCCCAACTCCGCCTACAAAATATTTTTCCAAGTAATCTTTCCCTTAATAACAGATTGTATGTTTTATTTTGAATTCTAGAATTCCACTGTGGCTTGGCAGTAAGTTATATGCCTAGCAACCCCAAATCTCCTATGTCCTCAGTACTTAGAAAAAAATCAGGAACTGTTCATCAGAAATTAAACAGTCCCCATGCTGAATGTGCTTTTTATTTAGTTTTTTTGAAGAGTTAATGAATTCAGGGGAATGAAAATAGATGTTAGAAATAAAAATGTGGGTATCTCTAGTTAAGAAAATTATCAAATGTAAATGATTCCTTTTTTCGTTGGGTCTTATAAAAATATGTGATACTTAAGCACACTGAAGTTTTAAAGTCGGCTGATTATATTGTACAAAGGTATTTTTGGCCCTTTAAAAATTATTTTCCTACATTAAGAAAAGTTTTCTTATATTCAGAACTTTTTATTGTGACTCAGGTTTTGTGTCTCTGTATAGACACACATACATAAGTGTTTTTCTTTGCGCACTTGTTTTGCACAGGTAAGAAAATGAGATTAAATAACGTCCAGGTATGCAGGTCAACTGACTTTTATGGTAGCTAGATTAAGGAAAGCATCTGATGAACGGACAAAAGAAATCACATGATATTTCTTTGTACCTTTCCATCTCTCTTCCCCTTCCCCAGCACTCTACTAAAGAACGTCTCTTATTTAGTCAGGAAATCTTATGTAATTTTTTGGAAAGTCCACAGGAAAACCAAGTTGCAAGTCTCAGGCAGATAGAACATGAAGCAATTCCCATATTTGTTAGAATAGTGATTTATTTTCAGAATGTAATGCCAAAATAAATTTTATATTCAATACTTGTAGAGTCTTTCCACTCAGAGGACTCTTACTGGTCTTGAATGTGGAAAAGGCATCTGTTCAGGGCAGTGAGTAATGTTGTATGTTAGGTTTTACTCTAGAAAATTTGGTTTTAGCTTTGATGACACCCAGTGTCAATGGAATGCAATAAATGTTTTATACTGCTTTCTGATGTTTAGGTATTTCCCTTTAACATCCTCAACCGCATTTTTCTCCTTGAAAACGCAAGCCTTACTGCTTTCTGTTTGGAATGAAGAAAAAGATAATTGATAGGCAGATAAGCTGGATATTTTTGTCTCAAAGCCAGTCAAGTTTCTTTTTGGACTCAGTGTATAAAGGGGACTAAAGGAAGCTTAAGGACAATGGCATTGTCTTCATATAAAGGAGCAAATTTTTCCTGGTTAAAAATCAGAGGTGAAGCTACTAAATTGTTTGTAAATTTCAAAGACTATCTCAAATAACCTTGGCAAAGTAAGGTTTTAAGTGCTGTAGTTTCATTTTTCCCACTTTATAACCACCCAAGGGCACCCCCCGACCCAGCTGTATATAAGTAAACCATAATATGAACTATGGTCTCTTTCTACTCAGAGAAGAAATATTAACAGCAGCGATTCTAAATAGACAGTGATAAATTTTTAATTGGTCTGTAAAGAATTATAAGTAAAAGGATATTAGATCCTAGGTTTTTAGAATTTTAAGTATCCATGAAAATTATTCTTTCATTCCTAAAGTGCTTGACAACTGACTACTTTGGGTCTTAGTTATTGGGGGTGGGGACACAACACAATCTTTTTATTACTGTGTAAAGAAGTTCTAATTCCACCTATTTAAATTAATAGTTTTCAAATGCTAAACACATGTGCACACATACAAATTATCCATTTTTCCTTTGAGGTCCTACAATTCAGTTAGTGAAATATTTCACTCTTCTTTAAGAAAAATTCCTAGGCAGGGATGCAACACTGGGCCACTATTTTAATAAGATGAAGACAGTCTCTAGACTCATTCTTTTTCAACATCTGACTTCACTGCCATATGTGCAGCACAACAGTGACATCTTAAGGCCAAGTAACTAGAGCTCCTTTAGCCAGAGAAAGAACTTGAATTGGATCTGTTCTCAAAGAAATTTCATCATGTTATCAAGTAGTTTTCAAGTTCAGTTTGCAACTGGTAGATCTTTATAAATGCTACTTTATGACTTCTTTTGCAGTCTTTGTGAACATTTTAATGTGCACTGGTAAACACTAACGTTTTACAAAGACATATTGTATATTAATGCATGCATTTCATTGCATAGTTTATTGACACTCCCCTTGTAAAGCTTTTATGGAAGAAACAACAAGCCACAGCAGTATAGCAAAAGAGGCTTAATCTTTATAAATTGGGGCCTTTTCTGTCTCTTTGCTAGCCTAGGTGGCTGTACACAAATTCAGGTGGGAGGGGGCAAGAAACACCTCTTAACATTTAAGGTTTTCTACATGGGTGAACTCTAGTCAATTCAAAATAAATTGCTTACTTTAGTAAAAAATTTTACCATTTTATAAAAAAATTAAATCATGACATGTTTAATTGAGATGGCTGTATTGTAATTAATATTTTGAGATAATTGTGATTTTGAGCTTCAATTATATATAAAAAGTTGTCATTTTTGTATGTGCTAAAAATATGTATCACAATTAACAGTACTTTTTAGTTGAACTACGTATTGATGTAAATAAAAACTGAATGAAGACATATTTACTACTTTATTAACATAGATTGTGAATGTACTTAATGGTTTTTTTGCAGTATGAGACCATAATGACTTTGAAAGCTGCTTCATTTTATGTGCAAAGGAGTCCTATGAATCTATATTTTAAATTTACTCAATCAGTGAAATTAATTACTTTGTCAGTTAATTTGCAAATGCAAGCTGTACTCTCCAGTTTATTTTATGTATTGACACTAATTGGTAAAGGTGTACAATGTGATTAGAATGCATTTTGAAGATGCTTTCTGTACAGATACAAAATACAGGGACTACAATAATGCTGTGCAGAGTATAGCAGAGCCATTTTTCGGCTTTGGTGTACTCAATTTTTTCAGTATTTAAAAACGTGTTTTGAATAACATAAAAGTCTCTTTATTGTATAAATAATAAAATGTCACATTATTGTAAAGTGTCTTTTGTCTAATATCGAAGCAGATTTCTTACCCACAGAGTTGTAATATGAAAAGGGCTTGTTTTTTTAAGCCAAAAACAACTATTATAATCAATATTTGAAAATGTAACTTTTATTATGAACAGTAGTATTTATCTTTATTAGCAATGAGTTTTTTCATAATATGAGCATGCCTCAATCACCCAAAAGCTAGCTAGCTACCTACCTGCCTATATCTATGTAAGTTAATATACATTCTGTTGATTGGCTACTTAATAGAATCACATGGTAAGTTTTATAATGACTGATCAGCCTACCTCTGATATTTTTGGTATAAATAAAAATATTTCTACTTTATTTTTACTAAATCAAGTTAACCAGTAACAAATTCCCTTTCAGAAAATTTCCACATGACTACAAGTTTAGTCTTATGAAGACTAGAAATAAATTTGAAAAGTAAGGCCCTGGAAATAAAAAAAAAAAAAAATGCACAAGGTTGGATTAGAACAGACCAACAGAGTAGATAATGTATACAAATATCTGCTTAATAAATTACTTAAGAAATTTCGAAGACTTCTATGTGGTATATGTTATTAGTTATTTTCTGTTGCTGACATCTATAGAATTAAAATAAGCTCTTCAGTACTTTTTTAAAGAAGAACAAAAGGTATTTTTAAACACACTCTGAGGGAAAAATATGCAGATCCAATCCCTTCAAATTTCTTAAATCTAGAAGTACTAGGTTACTGTAGGGAAACTTAATAGTAAGAAATCATTTTAAAAAAACTTGTCAAGTTTTAAATTCAAAATTCTGAGAGCAACTTAAACAACGCTTTTACTGTTTTCTCTGCCAATAACTACATCTCGTGTAATATTCCTGTTACATTAGAAATTATGACAAAATGGTTTCATAAAATGTAGGGAAAAGGCTAGACAAGAAACATTTCAACTGGATTAAAACAAAAGCGAGACAGTGAATGTTAATTTAAAACTTATACCAAGACCAACCACATCACAAAAGTCTTATCACGGGTAAGGAAAAGCCTTATTTTTTTAAATGCCAAAGAACAGTTTTGAATAAAATTCAATTCAATTTTATATCTAACAAAAAGGTAGAAATTAGATGGTCATATTCAAATCAACTGGTCACATTAAATGTAACACGAACAGAAATGGTGGGAAAAATCCCACTTCTACAAAAATGCTTTCTCATTATAAAAATATCAAACTAACTTAAATAAAAAATCACTTTTGAAGAAATTGTTTACTATCTTATAAGGAATGAAAGTAGAGTAAATCTTATGCAAAACATTCAAAATAAATGCATAAACACTGTATGTGGTTATCACCATTACAAATGAACGATACCTTAGAAAAACGTTACTTATCAATGTAAGAAGTCTAAGAATTAACATGACCAAGATTATAAAACAACTCCAATTTAAGTAGGAATCCGGTCTCTCAAATATTCCAGAATAGCAGCTGTTCCTTTCATTAATATGGCTGCTCGAGGAACGCGGAAAGGATTTCCATCTAGTAGTAGTGTTCTAAATAAAAGAGAGAATTAAGAATTTTAACATTTTCCATTAAGAAGGCTTTCCTTCTAATTTCAATTGCAATTTCATAAATAAATTTGTGTATTTTTTTCTATTTGTCCCTTTTCAAATCTAAGCATTTCAATAGTTGGAATTAGAACTACAATAATAACCCAAACAACATTAATTGAATACTTATTATATGAAAGGTATTGTGCTGAGTAATTTATGTTCACTGACTCTCTTAATTATCTTAATAATCCTATGATGTAGACACCATTGATATTCCTATTTAATAGGTAAGGAAACATAAGTTCAGAGAAGTAAGACAGACGTGTCCCAAGATCATACAGCTATTAAACAGAGGAGCTGTGACATGAGCCACCATTTTACCCATCTTCTTCTCAATCTTATAATGACCATATACTACATGGTTAAATTATATTTATACATTAGAATGAGCATACTTGTCAATATACCAAGGACTATAATGTAATCAATATATCCCCCCTCCGCCCTGGGAAACATCGACAAATTCCTGCTCTCTACCTCCCTTGACCAGATGCACACAGAAAGTCTATGTACATGTTCTAAAATGAGGTTCAATTTCAGATTTGAGGACTGGTTGATTTGTTTCTTTATATAATTAATGAAATAAATTATAAGATAAAGAGACTTTTAATTTTCAAAAATTTAAGTGTGTAAACAAAAGCCAAAGGATTCATACCATATTACACAATAGATCTAAATGATATCCTCAATATTTCTATGGGCTGTGGGGATTCTTTCAAAGGCTGATTTTCTTAATTTATAAAAAGGAATTAATTACAGTCACTCCTCATTATTCACAGCCTCTATATGTGCTAATGTGCCTACCACTAAAAATTATTAGTAACCCCAAAATCAATACACAGGGCACTTTCGAGGTCATTTTTGGATATGCAGAGCAGCAAAAAATTTGAGTCAATCACGAGGCACATTCTCAGCTGAGGTCAGAAAGGTGATGCTTTCCCTTCTTGTGTCAGTTCTCACACTGTAATCAAGCGTCCTTTCTGTGGTCTACTTAGTAGTGCAACATTTTTTGCATTTTTGTACTTTGTGTTGGTGATTTCACTGTTTAAAATGGCCTGCAACTGTGGTGCTGAAGTGTTTTCTACTTTTCCTAAACACAAGAGGCTGTCGTGTGCCTTACAGAGAAAATATATATACCAGATAAGCTTCATTCAGGCATGAATTTCAGTGTTGTCTGGCCATAGTTAAATATTAATGAATAAATAATATTAAATACAGAAACACACAGAGAACAAGGTTATGTATTGACTGGTTCATGAAAATGTGACCAGGGGTTCCAAAGAGGCTAATTATACTTCCCCTAGCAATCATGGTTCAGTATTCACTAATTTGGTGTTCAGAGACTTTATAAAATACAACTACTGCAAACAACAAGAACCAACTGTATTTGCCTCTTACAAGTCACTAATATGAGGCACCAAAGCACATGCCAGTGCTGCCCTAGCAAAGTAAAATATGCCCCACCATCATACACAGTGTTCAATAAATTAAATAAATTAAATTACTTCTGACACATTCTGCTTAAGTACTTGGCTTTCTGTTGACATCTCAAAACTCTCTTTATATTCATTTAGCAAGCACTTATTGAGTGCTTACTGTGTTCTAGGCACTGGGACAACTCTTTTCTAAAGGAGGAAAAAGAAATGATACAAATGAGTCCAAACAAAGCAGGATGGAAAACCAGAGGGAGGGACTAACTCTGCTTGGAGAAGAGGGAAGGTTTTCAAAGATGATATTTAGGTTGATTACTGATAAAAGCAGGGTGGAGGCATTTGAGGTTAAGGTAACAGCTAACACAAAGAATAAGAAAGACCATGCTGGGCTTGAAATAAACGGTGAAAGTCTGTAATCTGTAATTCTGAGCAACCTTGTATGCATAACTGGGGAGTTTATATTTCCCTGACATTTTTTATGCAGTGCAGTTTCAAGTTATACACATACACAGTGATGACAAAAGTATCAGAAAACAATCAGTTACTATATTGACATATATTATAGCATATAAACAAAGTTAAAAAATATATTATTTGGTAAAACTTGAAAAATGGAATTGGGATTCTGGATTTCGTTACCTGTTATTTTAACACAACATTAAATTTTTTACTTCAACTTTCCTGCAAGAGTACCTCAACAAGAGAAAAAAAAAAACAACTTATAAATCGATCAAATAAATGGAAAAACTTAGTAGAATGGTGTAGTTACCTTAAGTTCACACAATTACCAAGCTCTGGTGGAATTTGTAGGAGGTCGTTATTTTGAAGGTCCAGGGTGATCAGATTTTCCATTGCCTTCATTTTCTGAGGATCCACAGATCCAACCTGATTGTTACTAATCAAAATTGTTTCAAGTGTGGGGATGTGATACAGAACTTCAGGTAGTATTCTGAACCTATTAAAATATGAACAGAACACCTAAATGTACTGGAATCAAGGGAAAACCATTCCTTCAAATAGATGATCTTAAGTTTGATATCATAATGTAGTTTCCTTTACTGTAATTTATTTTATATTTGGTTTAAGTCCTGTGTTCAAATTTTCAAGAAAATGAACTGATTTTGGAAACCTTAAAATATATGTTAAGTGGACAGACTTGTAACATTTTCTGTTTATTGTGTAAATCCAACAAAAGTATAGAGTAAATTCTCCCATGTTTTTCTTTTCACATTTAGGAGACAAGAAAATCCTCCTGAGATTCTATATAAAATGTCCCCATGTAGGTATTCTTCCTTAGTTTGCTTTTACTTCTTATAAAACAGAATTACTACCAATATATTAAATAAATACTAGAGATTTATACTTTGCTCTGATGGAAGCTTCCAAAATGAGTGCAATTTTGGTTCTTGAAAAGATGACAAACTAACATAGACTGCTGCCTGCTCATCCAAAGCAACACTGAAGATGTCACAAAAAAGAAGGGAAGGCTGACTGCTCTCAGAGCAATACTCAGCAATTAATGCAAGATTATTGAGGATCTCTTGGCATGGTTACAGTGTGAGATGACTGTGGCATGGACTAGAAAAGACAAGGGTTGGGCTGAAGGAGAGATTTATAGCTGGGCCCTTTTAACTTCCCTATACTGCCCTTCTTTTGCTGCCTTGATGTTTAAAAAAAAAGAAGGAAGGAAGGAAGGAAGGAAGGAAGGAAGAAAGAAAGAAAGAAAGAAAGAAGAAAAAAGCAATAGCAAGTGTAAACTCAAGACAGCTCTGAAGTTCCAGGGCGCCTAGGTGGCTCAGTCGTTAAGCATCTGCCTTCGGCTCAGGTCATGATCCCAGGGTCCTGGGATCGAGCCCCACATCAGGCTCCCTGCTCGGCAGGAGGCCTGCTTCTCCCTCTCCCACTCCCCCTGCTTGTGTTCCTGCTCTCGCTGTCTCTCTCTCTGTCAAATAAATAAATAAAATCTTTAAAAAAAAAAAAAAAAGACAACTCTGAAGTTCCAGAGGGACTGGAGAGTTAATGACTAGGAGTACAGAGGGACCAAACTGCTCCAGAGCAGTCCTTCCTCTTCTTCCCACCAATGCATGAACAAGGTATTTAAAAACACGTAGTTCACCTGCTGACACAGAAGTTAGGGTTAGCTTTTGCCATCTTCCCTAAGACATTACTTGACAATGTGATTGACAGCTCAATAGACAATATAGAACTGGTAGTTCAGTTCACAAAACTTAGCAGAGATCTGAGAAGTGCATATATTTTTAAAAATGACAACAATTATATAACCTACACATGAGAAACCATGAGCAATAATGAAGCAGACAGAACAAAAATTTAAATAGGCAGTATTTTAGACACATCACTGTGCCTTTGCTTCCTTAATTGCAAACGAGGAATAATAATACTACTAAACTTATACACTTGTTATAAGGACTGAATGATTATATTTCAGCTGGAATACAGTACATAAATATTAGCTATTAATATTTACATTGTTACCAGAATCAACTTGCATTATAGGAAACAAATGACATAGTTGTTAAGAGCCCAACTGCTGGAGGCAAGATCTGGAATCGCTATAATGTACTAGTTATGTGAACCTTAGCAAAACATAAATCTCTAATATTTACTTAATATATTGGCAGTAATTCTGTTTCATAAGAAGTAAAAGCGACCTAAGGAAGAATACCTACATGGAGACATTTTATAGAGAAGCTCAGGAGGATTTCCTTAACTTCCAATCTCCGATTTTTAAATGAACATCATGACAGAAACCACCTTTTGTGAGGATTAAATGAGTTAATATATGCACTTAGTCCTGTGCCAGCAAATAAACCCCCAGTAAATATTAGCTACTCTTAATTATTAGCAGTATCTTTAGAGTGTTTGCAGAATAAAATCTATTAGTTGGCATACAAAGCTCTGACAGGACTCGCTACTGCTCACATGCCCAACTTCATTTGTTATTTCTACTCCTCTACCCCCTCACTTTTTGTCCCGAGCCATATCAAACTTCTTAAAGTGTCCCAAACACACCATGTTCTCATATGTTTGTGCCTTAGTACATGCCATTTGCCCCACCTGGGATGCCCTATCCCTGCATGTCTGGCTGATGTCTAATTTTTAAGTCTCAGTTTCAATGCTATCTCCTCTGCCCTCAGGCAATCTCAGGAAACACCTTTACCTATGCACTGTGTTTTCACCATAGCAATTATAATTATTTATTTACATATTTGTCTTCCTACTGGGCTATAAGTTTCTTAAAATTGTTAAAAGGAACAAAAGTCTACTAAATAATCAGCTGTGAAAACTCTAAGAAAGCAATATCACTTTCAATTATAAGTAGAATAAGGTGAAAATAAACTTGAATATTTAAATAAAGTAAACACATGGGGCCTTTTTATTTGGCTCTTTTAAGTGTATTCTCTAAGACCTACAAATTCTCCACATAAAAATCTTCAGTCACAGATTAGTCTGCTCTGTCTCTCACCTGTTAAAGGAAAGATTAATTGTTTGTAGTCTTATCAGCGATTCCATTTCTTCAGGCAAAGAATTTAAAAAATTGTTCCTAAATTGGAAAGAAAAAGATTTACAAAGTTGAAAATCTGTACAACTTTAATTTATAATTAAAGTGTTGATCAGGGTGCCTGGCTGGCTCAGTTGGTTAAACATTTGCCTCTGGCTCAGGTCATGATCCCAGGGTCCTGGTATCGAGTCCCGCATTGGGCTCCCTGCTCAGGGAGGCCTGCTTCTCCCTCTCCCTCTGTCCTTCCCCTCTGCTCATGCTCTCTTTCTCTGATGTGCATTCTCTCAAAATAAATAAATAAAATCTTAAGAAAAAATAAAGTGTTGATCAGACAAAAAATTATGTAGCTCGGTTTGTTAGTCCTTGATCTGATCTCATTAAGGCTGAGTCCTGAGAATTCTGAATCAGTCAGCTGCCTCAGGTATTTGATTAGTGTGCCAAATCCAAATAATACCAATACGCAACCAACTGATAAAGCAACCAACTCTTTAATAATACATTTAACAGGGCAAACACTGTAAACTAATCATTTATCTCCTTCAAACTGATCTCAGCAATCCTTCTCACAGATAGGGCCCTTGAGATCATGCCTGTATACATTATTTGATTCCACAAATATTTGATTGGTGTTTAATACATGTATCTTGCATACAGACATGAAATTCTACTCTAAGCAGAACTGTAAAATTTTATGAAAAAAAATGAAACAGGAAAGTGATGAGATTCTATATATTTAGAAATTTAGGGCTTTCTACTACATAGGTATTAAGCCAGTCCATTTCTACTCTAAGTTTAGAATTTCAATTTATACAATGCATATATTTTTTAAGAATCTTAGAATGAAGCACGGCAGTAAACAGAATCTCACTTATTGTTAGAAGGACCTGGAACAATGTTAAAAGAAAGGTTAACGACAGGAAGGCAGAAGGATTCTAGAGCTTATATAATTACTTATAATAGAAAATATTTGTGAGAAAATTATATTCAACTAGATGGCTACCTATTACAAATGAGTAATTTTCTCTAAATTTCTTTGTGTTCAGAAGTAAAGCCTAATAATATGTTAAGTCATACTTTCTACACCTATGTTTTCTTTTCTCTGTACTGTTCTCCAGTTATTGTCTTTATTAAGCTATACCAAATAACCTACTGCTGGTTTCTATCTTTTTCCTACTGATATCAGATAAGAAAGTGTACATTAGGGGCGCCTGGGTGGCTCAGTCTGTTAAGCAACTGCCTTTGGCTCAGGTCAAGATCTTAGGGTCCTGGGATCGAGCTTCACATCGGGGTCCCTGCTCGGCGGGGAGTCTGCTTCTCCCTCTCCCTCTGCTGCTCCCCCTACTTGTGCTCTCTCACTCTCTCTCTGTCAAATAAATAAAATAAATAAAATAAAAAAAATAAAAGTGTACATTAGTCACTTAATTAGAAACCTAAAGGTATAGACAGTGTCATATACACACACACACAGAAGAATGGGACAAAAATAAAGAGAGCAGTAATAAGTACATGAATTCATTCTCTCTACTCCATTAATACTGAACTACAATGTGGTTTTACACTGCTTTGCCAGTGTAATTGCCACCCCAAAACAGAAGCAAGTCTACATTTAATAGGAGCGGAGTATTAGTAGATCTGCTTTAATCCCATAAGCCAAAAAAAAAAAAAAGTCTCTATAGGCAGAATAAATCCTTAAACAGATACAATTTAGCTTACTGTTATTTACCTATTGCTTGAGCAGGGCAAGAGGAGCTACAGCTTAAATAAACTAAAAGCACATTGGAAGTGCAGATAATAGAGCTATAGCTTACAAATAAAGACTTAAAGCCCAAACAAATAAATACTTGACTATCTACCTCTGAGTCATTTATTATTACCCTCAAAGAACTGTGGCAATTCTGATCCTGTCACTTCAACTTAGGACTTATTTAAATTAAACTTCCTATTACCCCTGCAGAGCCTTAAAACAGTTTCTTTCCTTTTGTTGCCATTCATGGTGGTCTTTTTCTTTCTTTCTGGCCTTGAATGTTGACTATAATATTTTAAAACCAAATAGGTTCTTTTTAAGAGAAGCCACGCTAGCTGCTGTGCCAGCATAGGATTTTGAGAGTTTTATGCTATTTACTTTCAGAAAAGGAAAAACGGGAAACACTTTCCATGGGTTATTTGTAGTTTTTCTTAATTAAGCATGAATTTAAAGAATGTGTTAATATTTTCTAATATTTTAAATAAACTGCCTACAAATGACAGATATTTGATTAAAGTATTTCCTAAATGCTTAATTTTAGATCTGTCCTAAAATGTAATTAATAAACTAAAGAGCAATTTCCACACTTACTTAGGAAATATGAGGGAAAGAGCAAATGTTAGGCAAAACTCAAAGACAAGTTATAATGAAAAAGTGAAGCAATAACATCAATAAATACCTGAGATCTAAAAAAGTCAATTTTTGAAGTGTACATAATTCCAAGGATATAAAGGAAAGCTTATTAAAACTGAGATTGACATCAGAAACCATTTCCTTCAGTTCCACAATCCTGAAACAAAAATAATTTAAAGATGTTAGCTCTTGAATTCACTGTCAGAACTTCAAAACTACAAGCAGACATAGAAGGAAAAATCCTATATTATTTTTGCTAATTAAGATTTTCTGTAACTTTTACTTCTCCCACAAAAATTTCAATTAGTTTGTATTCTATAATAGTAGTTTTCTTTTAGGCTGCATAATATAATATTCTCTGTATCTGAGTACTTCACAATGTTTTTTAACTATGATACGTCAACATTTTTAAAGTATAGTATTTTCTGTCCAAATTATCATTGTATTAATCATGACTGCAATAAAACATTAAGTTAATTCCTAGTTTGGTAAGTGTCACGACTAAGCAACTTAAGTCAAAGACTTAAAGAGAAAGACTTAAATACTGCTAAGTAAGCCTAATCAACCTTAGTAATTTTAAAGCACACTATTAACTATAAGAACAAATGTTATATATGATTTACCAAGAAATGAAACTATATGAAAGAAAGAATATCAACTGCTGTGCTAAAGAAAGATGAGTTTGGATATGTAACTGATAAAATTTCTTTGGAAAGTTTTTGGATATATGTATTGAGAGCCATACTCCTTTAGATAATTCTTCCGGAAATCCGGTCTAAAGAAACAGTATGTTTTGTTTTATTTATTGCCGTAATCAACCTTATAGTATATGATAGATTTTAAAAGTATTGTTTACAACATAGGAAAACACGACAAATTAACCAGTTAAGATACAAATTGTATATGTAATTCTAAATAGGAAACAGTTTGAAATAAAACGTGCCATGAATAGAATAGTGATGGGACTACAAATGATCTGTCCCTTCCTTTTGTCTAAAATTTTATGAATAAGTATTATTTTCACAATCAGGAAATCATATAGTGAAAAGTATGACTTGTGAAATAAAAATTTAAGAAAGAGGAAAATGACTCAGAAACTCTCTAGATCAAGGTATGTCCTTGCTATCTTTCTACTCTGGCCCTCTAAATTGCCAAAAATATGATGAAATAACGGCAATAAAAGAATACCATACTGTTTTACATATGAATTACCACATTGTGAGGTAAAATGAGAAATAAGTAATAAGGTGATGTGTCCATCTTCATTCCCAGTTTTGATCCAGGATCCCCAATGCAAACTTATCCTGACAGCAAATCTAACTGCTCAGTTCTTCTGTCAAGCCCTCAGAGCCCTTTAAACAAGAGAGAAGGAGAAGAACTAGATCTCCTTTTGCTATGGAATCTCGAAGTTAATTTACTTTTAAGATCTATATTCTTCAAACTATGCCCTGCAAAATAGAAAGCAAGTTAAAGTTTGTCTGACTGTTTAAAAATTTTAAACATCTAAAAAATGTTTTTGACGGTCAGATGAAAGCCATTTTATTTTCCCAATCACTTTTTTTTTTTTTTTTAAGTACTTAAGTGCTTACTAAGTGCTAGGCACTGGTTAAATGCTTTGTGTGGATTATGTCATTTAATTTAATTCTTATAAAATACATACTTTATTATCTTTACTTCATAGGTAGGGAAACTAAGAGCAGCTAGTTAGCCTGTCCAAAGCTACACAGCTCACAGATCTGGGATATAGATACATGCAACTGACTCCATTGTCCAAGTTCTTTACCATTACCCTATTCTGTCTCCCCTACTGTTGTTTTAATTGGCAAGTTTATTTGTCAACTTTCTTTGGGTATATAGTTTACTGCAAGATAACAATCATTTAAAAAAGGTCAATATTATACTAATTTTCTCTCATAACCTAAAGATTTTGCTGTAACTAATATCAACAAAGACATACTGAACAGCACAAGTACAATGCACATGACTTCTAATATTTGATAGTAAAGAATCCTTTTCTGGGAGGAAAATATTAAGAGGATTATCTGGGGCTTTTATTGATTTCACTATCAGTGAAAAATTCAGTGGCTTGGCAATTCATTAACATAAAGCCCAAAATGAAAATTCCTATTAATCCACATGGACCTGGCTTTGGATGGTGTCTTAAAACTTTTCCTTTAATATTTCATTACATGGAAAAAGTTAATTTATACTTTTAGTAATTCTAATAATTTAATAATTCTAATTTTCCATGTTTAAAATGTAAAAGAAAAAGAAATCAAATTTCTAAAAATGTATCTACCTCTCAGAACTGATGTTAATATGTCTCAGAGAATACTTAGGTGAATTTTGCTAAATCCCTCAAATATCAATAATGAAAAAAATTCTACATATGCTTTCAAATTAAAAAACTATGAAAAATAATTATTCTTGTCACTGAAATGCAAACACAACTGAGAATGAGTCACAACTTAATAGAAATGACATCATGAACAATTCTCACCTTTTAGGAATTTCACATAGCTGATTCTTACTGAAGTTAACAGAAGTGATAATGTTGCTTTTTACTGCATCAAATACTTCATCAGGAATTAAAGTTGTTTGTTTATCACTAAATGAAAAATGGTTTAAAAATGCATCATCCTTAGTAGTCCAGAAAGATATGATTATTACTTTTCACTTTTAAAGGCCCTCAAGGATTTTATGAGTTTTCAAGGCAGCAAGGCAGTTGCTCATTATGAAGAACACTTTGAAGTTCTGTAAACAATGCCAGAAAAACCTACGAACTCACAAAATATTAACCATTAAGAATTCAGACAACATAACATATCACAATACATTGTACTATACCTTCTGAGCATTCACATACTCAGTGTGAATAAAACCAGATATATCTTCAGAGTCTAAGATGTTTAGAAATCATATTAAATAGATAATTAGTAAGTAGATTCCTCTACCTCAGAATAGAACTAAATCTATAATTTTAAAACTGTTGTTATCCCATTTCTAACAGGGATTATCTGCCAACTTTATGTAGCTATATAGTTAACTGCAAGGGAACAATCATTTTTAAAAGTTCAACATCGAGGCGCCTGGGTGGCTGTCGGTTAAGTGCCTGCCTTCGGCTCAGGTCACGATCTCAGGGTTCTGGGATGGAGCCTCAGGCTGGGCTCTCTGCTCAGCAGGGAACCTGCTTCTCCCTCTCCCTCTGCGCTCCCCCTGCTTGTGCTCTCTCTGTCAAATTAATTAATAAAATCTTTAAAAAAATAAAAGTTCAACATTATACTAAACTGTTTCTCATAACCTAAGCCAATTTCTCTCTCCTTTAGCATGTGACAAGGTAGACAGGGTAGTGGCCTTAGACTAAACTATTCCTGGTTTTACCATTAAGGACCTTTTTAAAATTCACTTTCTCTTAACCTCAGTTCTGTGAAATTAGAATCTGAAGAATTATTCATTGTTATGTGGGCCAGATCTTTTGCAAATATAAATGTAAATAAATTTCCTTTTCAATAAGATTTTCAATAAAGTATACATTTAATCTTAAATGAAAGTATAGTAGTACTCTGACATTTGCAGACTTAACAATTTGTTAATGTTATAATTAGCCATTTGTCCCCACGTTCTTCTTTTACAATTTTCAATGCTTAATCACATCATCCACTTAAAAATATTGTTGATGGAATGCCAAATTAATGACTTTATAAACAAGAAAACAATTATTACATATAATGTCCAATATAGAGGAACCTGTAAGAAAGGCATTGTAATACAGATAGGTAAATAGAGCCTAAATTTAGTTTTTATGCCTTCTACCTCTGTTGTAGGGCTCTATTTTCTCTTGTGCAAATGTAGCATTTTTATCTTTTCAATGAGAAATGCTCAAATCATGGGGAACTGATTTACTGTAATCAAACATTGAAGATTCACACTCTTTAAAACAATTTAGTTGACAGGGGCGCCTGGGTGGCTCAGTTGTTAAGCGTCTGCCTTCGGCTCAGGTCATGATCCCAGTGTCCTGGGATAGAGCCCCGCATCGGGCTCCCTGCTCTGCAGGAAGCCTGCTTCTCCCTCTCCCCTCACCCTGCTTGTGTTCCCTCTCTCACTCTGTCTCCCTCTGTCAAATAAATAAATAAAATCTTTAAAAAAAAAAAAAATTTAGTTGACAGCATTTATGCCTTGATATTGGGAATTCATTTATATTTTATTTATTTATTTTTAAAGAGCCTTGTGGGAGCCTTGACAGTATGGGTTAATTTTATCATTGTTGCCTAGATAGTACTGAAAGAATACTTAACAACCTTTGCATAGGTATCTTCTTTCCCCAATCAAATACACTCCCATAATATAAACATTTTTAGGCTTTTATCTCAATTTATATACCAATATTCCAATTGTTCCAGGTTTAATACATATGTACTAGAGCATAATACTATTATGGCATATTACTTGGCTTAGATGTATTAATGGGGTAAAATCTCTTAAGCTTTGCCTGCTTAAGGTCTTCATTAACTAAATGATACTAATTTCTTATTTACTAGTAGAGACGCTCCAATATAAAATCCTCTCTTGATGCTGGTTACTGAGTCAGAAAATTTTATTACCAAACAATACTCTCACTCTTATTTTATAATAAAATGTTATTTATTATAAAAATGTCAATATTAATAAACATCTCTCTCTTAAGCATAATGAACACAAATCACTGAAGGAATGGTATTTTAGTTCACTATAATTTTAATATGCTTTTATCTCATCACTGTTCTTGCAATTGCTAATACTCCAAGTACTGATATACTCTGATGAATTCTTCCTCATCAACTTTCCTTTTATCTGAAGGATTATTTCTCAAAGTTTCCTATATGTTCTGCAGTGTTTAAGAAAATTACATACCTATAGTCTAATATTTTTAATGTTATGATAGCGTGTACATTGACTCTGGATTCACTTGGTAGTGTCATGGCAGTCTCAACAGAATCACTTTGGCTAGGTCCATCATCTGGCAAGAGAAAAGTTATATGAAACCAATATATATAATATAAAGTCATTTTTAAATTCTTGAATATATATAAAAATGGTATACATGATTTCTAGATATTATTGGTAAGAATGTCTTTAGTCATATACTTTATTTCTAATAACTCAAATCTAGGTCTAGAATTTAATATTTAATTAATAGAAAATAGATAAAACTATTATAATATGGCTTTAAAATCTTTTAATAAATCCTACCAAGAAAATTTGGGAGTAGGAAAGAACCTTCAAATAACTACAATCTCTCAGAAGAAACAATAACACTAATTCTTCCTCTTAAGAAAAATAATATGGTCTATTAGAATTTGTTAACAAAGGAAAAATATTACTTCCCACAAATGTCTATCAAATAGGCATACACCTATCTTCTTCAGAGTTAGGACATATGGAAACTGATTATCCTCGATCATTTGAAACTGGGGGATTTACATAATTGAGTAAGCTTTTGGTACATTATTCATGTTAAGAGGTTTTTTTTCAGCAAATGCAAGACTTTATTTTCAATAGAAATTACTAACATACATGCATACTTACACACTCACACACAATTAACTCCCTCACTAGTTTCCAAAGACTGTTTTAACACTGTCATCATATGGTATAAAGAACAAAACAAACATAAATCACACACATCAAAAAGAAATGGTTTTGTGACTTATTGGCAAAAGAGACTTCAAGCCATCCAGACAGAAGTAAAATAAGACTATTAATTTTCAACAATGTGAAAAAAATGAAATAGTCCTAGCATTCATCATACGTTAAGAGCATAAGGCATACCAAAAGAACATAAAACAATTAGTAGTATCTCTATCTTGCTTCAGCCCAGCAGGCATTTAATGAACATTTGTTGAATACTATGAAGTATATTTCTCTTGCACGGAGCTCATCAATTATTCACTAATCAATATCATTAAGCTAGTATTTCTTATGCAAATATCATATGGATATTTTGTTCATAGAAGAAGCACAGAATAAAAGACAGTATCAAATAGAAATAAAAGACATCAAAATATTTATTAGTATTAAGTAAATGCTCTGGTATTTAGAAGTACCCTAGCATTTTGGTTATGTCATTTTAAAGAATATGTAATATATATTGCCAAATTACATCAGCAGATAGGAAACATTAAACCAGCAACAAAACCCAGCATTATTTTTTAAATATACGTGTATACTAGCATGACAACATACTGAGATGAGTATTCTCAACACTTTCCAAACAGCTACCTTTAATAATCATATTATATGTTAAAAAAAAAAAAAGAAGAAGAAGATAGCAGGAGGGGAAGAATGAACGGGGGGAAATTGGAGGCGGAGACGACCATGAGAGACTATGGACTCTGAGAAACAACTGAGGGTTCTAGAGGGGAGGGGGGTGGGGGAATGGATTAGCCTGGTGATGGGTATTAAAGAGGGCACGTTCTGCATGGAGCACTGGGTGTTATACGCAAACAATGAATCATGGAACACCACATCAAAAACTAATGATGTAATGTATTGTGATTAACATAATAATAATAATAAAAAAAATCAGCATCAAGAATGTAAAGAGGGAGCCCATTATCCCTTGGGAGGAGACTATACTAGAGATAGACTTTCTTTTCATTATATATCCTTGTATATCGGTTGAAATTTTTTTTACCATGTACATTTACTGACTTTTTAGTTAAAAAACTTTAAGATGGCAATATTCCCTAAATTGATCTACAGATTCAATGTAATCCCTATCAGAATCCCAGCTGACTTCTTTGTAGAAATCAACAAACTGATTCTAAAATCCATGTGGGATTGCAAGAAACACACAATAGCTAAAACAAGACTGAGAAAAAAGAATAAAGGATTTACCCTTCCCAACTTCAAAATTTACTACAAATCAATGGTAATCAAGAGACTCTGGTACTGGCACAGGATAGACATACAGATCAATGGAATAAAATTGAGAGTTCAGAATGAACCCTGTATTTCTGGTCAAATGATTTTCAACAAAAATGACAACACCACTCAATGAGGGAAGAATAGTATTTTCAACAAATGGTACAAGGAAACTGGATAGCCATATGCAGAAGAATTAAATTGGATCCTTATCTCATACCATATATAAAAATCAACTCAAAATGGATCAAGTACTTAAATGTTAGAACAAAAGTATAAAACTCATAGAAGAAAATACAGGAAACAATTTTCATAAAACAGGTTTTTGCAAAGGATTTTTAGACATGAAACCAAAAGTGTAAGCAAAAAAGAAAAGGAAAAAATAAATAAATTGACTTCATCAAAATTAAGATAAAAAACACCTTTTGTATTTCAAAGGACACCGCCAAGAAATGAAAAAACAAACCCACAAAGGACTAGAAAATACTTGCAAATCATGTATCCAACAAGACATTTCTATCCAGAATGCATAATGAACTACTATGACTCAATAATAAAAAGATTAAAAAAATTAAAAATTGGGCAAAGGATCTCTCATGAACATACATGCAAAATTCCTCAACAAAATACTAGCAAGTTGAATATTAAAAAGTATTTTAAAAATTATACACTGTGACTAAGTGGGATTTAACCCAGGTATTTAAGTCTAGTTCAGCATTCAAAAATCAATCAATGTAATGTTTCAGATCAACAGGCTAAAAAAAGAAAAATTATATGGTCATATCAATAGATGCATAAATAAACACTAACACTCCTTTATGATAAAAACTCTCAGTTTTTTCTACAAAAAACCTAAAATTCACATCATACTTAACAGTGAGAAGCTTGAAGCTTTCCCCCTAAGATTAGGTACAAGGTAAGGATACCCCCTCTCACCACCACTCTTTCTGAACATCATACTGAAATGTCCTTGTTAATGCCATACAGTAAGGAAATGAAATTAAAAGTATATAAATTGGGAAGGAGGACATAAAACAGTCTTTGTTCACAGATGACATGATCATAGGTAGAAAATCTAAAAGATGTGACAAGAAAAACCTGAAACTATTAAGAGATTATAGTAAGGTTGCAGGATACAAGGTTAATATATAAAATTGCTTTCCTTTATATCAATAATAAGTAGAATCTGAAATTAAAAACACAATACTAATTACATTAGCATCCCCCAAGTGAAATACTTATATATAAATATGACAAAATATGTGTAAGAGTCTATGAGGAAAACTATAAAACTCTGATGAATGAAATCAAATAACTAAATAAATGGAGAGACAGTCCATACTCATGGATAAAAGGTCTCAATAAAGTCAAGATGTCCCTTCTTCCCTACTTGATCTATAGATTCAATGCAATCTAAATCAAAATCCCAGCAAATTATTTTGTGGATAGTGACAAACTGATTCTAAAATTTATATAAAGCAGCAAAAGACTCAAAATGGCCAACACAATATTGATTGGAGAACAACAAAGTTGGAAGACTGGCACTATTCAACTTGAAGACTTACTATAAAGCTACTGTAACTGAGACAGTGTGAAGCTGACAAAAGAACAAATAGATCAATAGAACAGAACAGAGAGCCCATAAATAGACCTCCATAAATACAGTCAACTCATCTTTGACAAAGGAACAAAGGCAATAAATATAATGGAGTAAAGATGGTCTTTTCCACAAATGGTGCTGAAACATCAGGAAATCCACATGCAAAAAAGAATTAGATTTATTCATAACTGCCAATACTTGGAAGCAACCAACATATGCTTTAGTAGGGTAAATAAATAAACTATAGTACATCTAGACAATAGGTTATTCAGTCCTAAAAAAAATGAACTATCAGACCATGAAAAGCATGGAGGACACTTAAATGTGTACTACAAAGTGAAATAAGTCAATCTGAAAGATTCCAATTACACGACATTCTGGAAAAGGCAAAACTATGGAAACAAGAAAAAGATTAATGGTTGCCAGATATGGAGTGATTGAGGGGATAACAGGATAAATAGGCAGATCACAGAAGATTTTTAGGGCACTGTAAATACTTTGTATGATATTACAATGGGGAATATATATCAGTTGTCCAAATCCACAGAATATACTACACCATTATGATGTGTCAATGCAGGCTCATCCATGGTAAAAAAAATGTACCATTCAGGTAAATGATTTTGATAAATGGGGGAGGCTATGCATGTGTGGGGGCAGAGGATATATGGGAAATATCTGTACCTTCCTCTCAATTTCATTGTAAACCTAAAACTACTCTAAAAAAATTAAGTTTTTAAAATTTTTTTTTATTATTCTGATATGACTTCTGACTCGTATCATAATAATTAAATTTTTCTGGAAGAGAAAGCATACCTGGAAAAGAAAGGAAACTCCTTGATTGGCAGGAACTAAGAGTCTTAGAAAATTACGTTAATTTATTTGAAGGTCAAGGTGGAAAATGAAAACTGCTGAAGTATGTAATTATCTTACTCATTTAACATACACTGACTGGCAATATGGTGCGAGGTTAGGCTGTGCATAACCAACAGAGTCATGAGCTAAATTAACAGTTGCTGTATTTAGCCACTCAGTTGTAGAGTGTTTGTTATGCAGCAATACACTAGTATAGCTGAATTTTTTTTAATACTCTAGTGTATTCTACAATGATATACCTAAAATAAAAATTGGGATATAGTACACTTTAGTGAAGCATTAAAAATTAAATGTATAGTATCATTTTCTCTTTTGGTACATATTCATGCTAAATTAACATATCCTGAAAAATGTGTTTTATCTTTATACTTGTCAGAACTTAGCAAAACTATGCATGAAGCAGATATTCAAATAACTATTAATATACTTCCCAGTCAATAGCATTCATATACGATATCATAAAAGTCAAGTTTTGCTTTTTTTCAAAATTAAAGCACTAGGATGCTTACTGAATCTTTGTTATATTTTCCAATTGATACACTGTAACACAAATCAAAGAAATTAAGGAAAAAATATTATTATTGTGAATTTAAGGATGTTTTTATAACTTCAGCATATTTATGGCCTGTATGGATTCAGAATTAGAACCACACCTGCCAGGGACCATTTCCTCTAATTATTTACACCCAAAATACATGTAAATTTATGTACTGTTAGCACTTCACCGCCTTTCATACTATCCTTCAAAATATAGGAAAAAAATAGAAAAGCACCTTTAATCTTGCTTCGCAGGTATTTTAAGACTTCTTGGGTTCCTTTCTGAAAAGGTGGAGAGAAGACACATATTCACCAAGATATACCTTGCAGTTTCATAGATCAACATGCGTGTTTGAATTTCAAATTTAAAAACCAGAACTGAGTTCTAAATATACTTACATTTATAATTTCTCTCCGTATAGTTCTCAAAGGATTTCCTTCTAGTGCCAGAAATTTCAAATGAAGTTTTCCCAATGAACAGGGTAGACTACAAAAAAGATTAAACTGATTTCAGGGAAAACATGAAGAGTAAGTATAATTCAACCCATAGTCGACTATAAAACTATAACAACATATGACAAACTATATATCATATGATAGTGTCAAAGAGAGCTCAGGTAACATAGGCCTAAAGTATCTCCCTTTGAAATGCTGAACATGTAAAAGAAAAAACAGATTTGTTTTGAAATTGTCATATTGTGACTGCTAAAAAAAAATGTGAGCTACAAAACATTTGCTAAGTAAAAATTGTAAAAAGTAAATTTGAATGAATCAATGATTCAAGATAGCCATACTCAAGGATAGTAAATGTTTTGATTTTTTTCCTTCAAGTAAGCAAATGAAATTCTTCCCTAATAACCTAATATTATTTAGGTTATTTATTAGTACAAAAACACTCCTATCCCAAAATTACTGTGATCAACCTACAATACCAATTTATTTAATGAGATTATAATCAAACTGCTTCTGTTCTTAATCTTTCAGTAGCTCCCCATCTCTTAACGAATGAAACTTACTCTTCACAGGCATTTTAAGGACCTATTCTATATGGCCTCAATTTACCTTCAAGCCCTAAATTCTTACAATCTCTCTAATTGTACCCTATTTACCAGGTCAACTTGATTCCTTGTTGTTCTCTCAATATACCCCTACAATTTCCTGAACTTTCAAGGTTTTCTTTGTGCAGTTTTGTCCCACCAAGTGAATCATTCTGATCACTGTACATGTGCACTTGAAACTCAAGGTCATCCTTTAAAGATCATATGGTGGGACTAGAGTGAGGCATGACCCTGAAGGTGAGTGTGCTCTTAAATTCTGTGCTCTAGGCACTTAACTTGCCTCACCCTAGTCCCAGTCCTAATGATCATCTAAAAACGTTTTTTCTGGGGTGCTGGGTGGCTCAGTCAGTTGGGCATCTGCCTTCCGCTCAGGTCATGATCCCAGGGTCCTGGGATCAAGCCCCATATCAGGTTCTGTTGTCAGCGGGGAGCCTGCTTCTCCCTCTCCCTCTCCTTCTGCCTGCCGCTCTGCCTACTTGTGATCTCTCGCTCTGTGTCAAAAAAAAAAAAAAAACCTTAAAAAAATAAATAAAAATGTTTTTTCTTCTACAAAATCTGCCCTGATTCCTCTCAATAAATTGCTGATACCTCCATTTCCTTTAAGCCCTCAAAGCATTTTATATCTCTCCCATGGCTTTACATTCATTTAATAAATTCAACAAAGATTTATCAGGTACCTTCTAAATACCCAGACACTGATCTAGGAGTTAGAGATAGAGCAGTGAACAAAACAGATAAAAACCCTGACTTCTTAGTTTATGTTCTAAGTGGATGAGAGTAACTTATAAATATATCTGATTCTATTAGTATTTTAAGCTTGCTGCCAAGAACCAAATCTAACCATTCTTTGTAAGTCTGCATATGATACTTGTTCAATAAATGTTTAGTGAATTCAGTTGAGAAAAAAGATCTCTACGTATTTTTTTACAAATCTTATTTACTTATTAACTTATGAATTATAAGCAAATGCAGGTATGATTTCTTAGTCCTTTGATCTTTAAACTTACCTACTAATATCATTGTTGCTTAGGTCAAGCCTTTCCAAAGACTGTAGTAGTGTAATTTCATCTGGAACAGATTTTAACTTATTATCCCGCAGGTCTAGCACAAGGACAGAATTCAGATGCTTAAGATGTTCTGGCCCTAATATTTCAATCTGGTTTTCACCTACATGTAATTCCTACAAAACCAAAGATGAATCATATGTATTTCTGTATTCAATTTTATTAGATAATAAAAATAAAATTGAAATCTTAATTTCAAATCACTGAAAAATACATGGAAAAAAACATAAGTTTCTGATTACTAAGGTGCTTAAGTTTTCAATTACAATTAAGCTAAAAATGGTAAAAACAGAACACTTCCAAGGATTTTCTGATAATTTAAAAATAAAGATATAATCTGGCAGAAAGTTCAAAGTTTACAAACCAAAGCACAGAAATGATTTAGTAGTTACATTTACAGAATTAATAAAAATACAAATCCAAGAACGATGATGATAAAAAATTTAAAGTTTAAAAATAAGTTGGAATGAGCATAAAAAATTATAATCAGTTTGTTGTTAACTTCTTTATTTATTTGAGAGAGAGAGAGCGCGCGAGTGAGCAGGTCAGAGGCAGGGGGAAAGAGAAAAAGAATCTTCAGGAGACTCCATGCTCTGTGGGGAGCCCTACACAGGGCTCCATCTCACAACCCTGAGATCATGACCTGAGCAGAAACCAACAGTCAGACACTTACCCAACTGAGCCACCCAAACATCCCTCATTAGTGATTATTAAATATAGTGATTTCCCATTAACAGAATCTATAATTATCAGATGTATAACTAATCTTTAAATAACTTTTTCAGGTCCTTTTATCACTGCCACCATTCTGTTTAAGAGAAGCCCTTTTAACTCTAACACATAAAAGTATACATGAAGGAAAACAAAGCACGGCAAATTTAAAAGACAATGTTAATGCTATATACTTAAAACCAAAAGAAAGTAATTAATTTTAAACAGACCCAATTATGATTAGGTTAACATGAGAGGTGGCAACTTACAGAATTAGGTACATATTCCTTCCTAGTACTCCAGGTGTCCTACAGTATGACTCCACCTTACTATGTTAGCCTCATTATCTACCTCTCCAGTTATATACTACTCAGATGAAATGTACAAATTCCTATATTTAAGTTAATTATTTCTTTAAAAAAAAAAAATCTACTGCTGGGCGCCTGGGTGGCTCAGTCAGTTAAGCGTCTGCCTTCAATTCAGGTTATGATCCCAGGGTTCTGGGATTGAGCCTGGCATCAGGCTCCCTGCTCAGCAGGGAGTGTTTCTCTCTCTCTCTCTTCCTCTGCCCCTCCCCACTGTTCATTCTCTCTCAAATAAGTAAATAAAAATCTTTTAAAAAATTTACAGGCTTCTTAAAAAAAAAAAATCTACTGCTAACAATACCATTAACATAGACTAAAATTCTGAAAAATATAGGAAAAACATAGCACTTATAACTAATACATATTCCCAACGTAAAACAAGATTAAAAATTTCATTTTCATAATTAACTTTTGGAAAATATATAGTTTAATAATCATCTAAATATTACCTTTAATAATCTACAAGAAGGAAATTCTGGTAGAAAACGTAATTTATTCCTCCGCAAATAAAGCAATTCTAGTGACTCCATGTTAGCCAATTCAGGGGGTACAGCTTCTAAGAGATTTGAATTACAATCCAAATGCTTTAATCCTATAATACATAGTAAGTGAAAAACAAAAATACTTTAATAAAGAGAAAAATATTGGTCTATAATTGTATGCACATTCAAAAAAGTGTACATCACCATGAATTACAAACCCACGCCACTATATACTGCTATAATAATAAAGAATACTAGAATACCACTGAATGACATAAACATAAACTGAGATTGCTTTTATACTTAATTATAATTAAAGAGATATGACATTAAAAATGATGTTTAATAATGGTCCAAGTCATCTTTGTAACGATAAAAAACAAAATACTCCAATACTCTGTTAAGGTATTCTAAAATATACAAACTACAGACTATGAGATATTATTTCCCTCAGTAATTATACATCTTTATTTTTTTTAAGATTTTATTTATTTAGAGAGAGAGAGCAGGGGGAGGGGCAGAGAGAGAGGGAGAAAGAGAATCTCAAGCAGATTCCGCAGTGAGCACGGAGCCTGACACAGCGCTTGATCTCACAACCCTGACATCATGACCTAAGCCAAAATCAAGAGTCAGCCGCTCAACCAACTGAGCCACCCAGGTGCCCCAGTAATTATACATCTTTCAAAAGAAAAAGTTTAAGGTAGTTAAAGACATACATGCATGCACACTAGCTTGTATGTATGAATGGATGTCAAATAACTGGCTAGTAGTAGCTTAGACACATGTATTTAAATTTGGCAAGTTGACTTTCTGTCAAAAAGCCTTGGATTTCTATGTTTGTCCTCCTATTCTTCCATCTATCCATACTGTCTCTTTCTCCCTCCGTCTTCTTTCTTTTTTTTTCTTAATTTTGTTTAAATTACATGCTTTCTCTAACATCTTAGCTAACACTATGGACAAGAATGCATACTATAGCTCAAGAAAGATGTTCTTACTTGCAGCATCTCTCTTACCTCCTGGATCTATCTTTCTTAAAAAGGCATATAAGAAAACAAAAATGGAAAAAAGTAAAGGTCTTCTTTCCCTTAAGAATTCAATAAGCAGCTTTCTCCCTAATACATATCACAGATTCTTCTACTTACGATGGCCACCACATATTTTCCACAATTCACTCTCAACCCTCTAGTTCGAATAGGTGATATACACTTTACAACTTTTTTGCTGTACTTTTGAGCCTATCAATTTTAACATAATGCAAGACTGAGTTGATATTGCCTTAGACTGCTTCTTTTAGTATTTAAAGATGCTAACTGCTTTCAAAACAAATGTAATAGTACTACTTTCAACAAATACTATAATAATTTATGTATTATTTGACTAGAGCATTTTTAAAAATGTCATAATTGGGAGCCTGGGTGGCTCAGTCTGTTAAGTGTCTGCTTTCAGCTTGGGTCATGATCCCAGGGTCCTGGGATCGAGCCCCGCATCGGGCTCCCTGCTCAGCGGGAAGCCTGCTTCTCCCTCTCCCCTCACCCTGCT